CTCCTCCAGCGTATGGGCAAAAGAGAGGAGCCGGACGAACCGCTTGGGAGAGGACTCCACAAGAGGAACCGTTGCCGTGGACGAACCGCTTCGTCCAATTGTACGAATCCAGGCGTCTCAAAGGGAGAACTGAATTTGGTCAGCAAAGCCTTGTCGTCTGACGGGTTCCCCATGACCCCCCCCAAGAAGTCGTCTCAATCACTGGTGGCAAATCGGTGGCAGCAGGACAAACAAACATCAGGTCTCTCCGCAACAACAGCGAAAGCGATCTCAAATTTACGGAACGACAAATCACGGACAGTCCATAAAACTCCTTCCTTCCACAGAAATACATATATCATATTATATATTACATTACATAGCATATATATGTATATATGTATGTGTATTGCAGACTGTTTCGATCTCTTGTGGGACCTCACCCTGCCTGCGGCGCCAGCTCCACCCGATAGCTTCGCTCCAGCTCAGAGCCACAATCGGCCACCAGGCAGTCCACTAACCTGAGGGATGTCACGAAGGAACCGGACTGCACGATGTATAAAACAAACCCAGACACGACCCATGGGACTGCCATATATATATATGATATATGCCGATCAGTTGGGGTGGGTTTGGGGGGTCAATGCAGGCATATATGCATGGAGTGTCTGGGAAGTGGTTCAATCTTGGGATCATCCCTCTCTGCATTTACACTGTGGTGCACTGAAGGTACAAGTCTAGTATATAAGGGTTTCAGCCTTGGAGGCATAGGTGCACCGAATTGCGTTTCATAAAGGTGCACTTACTCCATTGTTAGTATAGTTCGGCCATCATGTTTCTGTGTCATGTGAGACTCTCGTGTAGATGAGACTGGGCATGGCTAAGCCCCTAAGTAGCCGAAACACCATTGGGCAAGGCTAAACCGGTAAACCTCACAAATTCAGCAAATGGTGGTGGTCACTCACTTGTATCTCGGACGGCTCAATCGGGGTATGCCAACAACCGTAGAAGAGGTGTATTAATTGTGCAACCATGCATGCAGTGTTTTCTTCTTGTGGCAGGGTCATGTACATACATACTACGTTCACTACTGGAGACCACCCTGATGTTCGTGTGCCTGAAGATAATTGGACCTGTGAACCAGTCTGGTCTAGTCTCGCCACATGACTCATCCAAAAGAATCCAAAGGTATCAATGGGCAATGGACCCTCCCAAACTGTCTGCAGGTTGTTGTCTTAGTTTGGGGTTTGTGTAGTGTGATATAGAAGTGTCTTTAACACTGCTTGTGTGATAAGGGTGTTCCCGTTTTGGAACTCAATTTGCAGAACTCTCATCCACCCACATTGCCCAACCTCACCGGGTAGCTCTTCAAAGTTTGCCTCCTCCGCCACGGCCACATGTTTCGCCCGCCGGCTTCCCGCTGCGCCGACGCCGCTGCCTTCGGGCTGCAGCCGGGCACGGCGCACCTGGCGAAGGCTCTGCGGACGGAAGTCCACCAAAAGGCCGATGAGCTCGGTGACCTCGGAGAAACACTGGCCTTGAGAGGAAATCAGTTGCCTCCCCTAAACGTGGAGGCACCAACAACAAATTGAGCACACGGGTTGGGATATGTTGGCATGACAAACCAATTCGAGGTTAGGATTTAATTGTAATTGAGTGCTTGTAGGCAGCCAGGGGTATTGTCCTGAGTGGAAATGCGTTGTTTTTGAGTTCATTTCTCTTTCGAACACACATTTTCCAGCAGTCTCCCTACTGGTTGTGACATGGAGGTTCCAGCAAACATCAACAAACTAATAGAGAACTTGGTAGGGAATTACCCATAATATAACGCTTGGTAAAGTAGGTAACATCCCTTGTTACCAACCATGTTACATGTTCTGGAATTGCTGACGTTGGGTTTCTGGCACAGCAGTTCCCGAGGTCCAAGCTGGGTCACAGTGGTGAAACCGTCATCTCTGACACGAAACAAGTTGAACGCTCCATCAGATTTGTCACAACCGCTAAAACAAAGGTATAGGAAATCAACAAAGACCAGCACCTGTTCGTCAATACCGTTCAACCCCCGTCCGACAGCTCGGATCCGATTCGGACCTTTCGATGAGCTTTCTGAATGACCGATCCCAAACATGGATAATTCCAGCGACGGAACTTGCTGCTCAGCGACAGTCCAGGTGCTTGAGCACCAGCGAAGACTGCGGTCTTCGACGCCTGCAACGGGACCACTGCGCGCTAAAGGACCTGCCGATCAAAACATGGACCAACATGGTCACACGGACCTTTGGAACTCGGACATCATTCAGCGTTTTGGAACTCAGTGCTATGAGGAAAAGTTTTTTACCACTACAAAGAGAGCACCTGGATGCACCTGGCTCAGAAGAGAGAAGAGAATCGGACCCTGAAGCACTTCGACAACGGAGCAGAGGAGGTGCAGTACTGGGAGAAAATCCCAAACCGTCACTGCGGAATTCATCACACCAAGGCATTCAGTCTCAGGATGCACCCCGCATGTACCGACATGGTCATCCGCAAAGACTCGAGAAAACAGATCAAATCGTATCAGATCTATACCAGGACACCCGGGCCAGGGGTGTCTATTGATGGCCCCTTAGAGGTTAAGGGGTGTCCATTAACCACCCCTTGTGGGTCCTAGTATGCATATCATATCACAGCAAGGTCAAAAGCTTTTAGACACATGTCCTTCCCTCCCTCCATCTCTGTCCTCCATCGTCCATCCACCCCGAACGCGCCTGTAGAACCTGGTGTGGTCTCACCGGCGCGGCTGGTGGGCGTGCCCAGCTGCGACTTGGCCTTCCGATGCACTGTCAGGCGCTTCAACAAGCGCGCCTCGCCATCGTCCCGCGGAGGTTTCATGGCATGGCGCAGGAGCGCTCCGCCGCCCAGCTGGGCACCAGGTATACTTAGTTGAAAGTGTCTGGTCTCTTACCAAAGCAAAGGGTTGTCCTGTTGTCCGAATTTAGCCCATGTAGTTCTCAGATTGTTTGATGTGTTCACCCACTTTTCTAGCTAGTATGATCTTCAGTCTCCCTTACTTTCCCTTCCACTGGAATGGCAACAAGATCTGTGGATGGGTCAAACAATTCCAGGACTATGTCATCTTAAGTATAACGCATGCTTCCCCGACCACAGGAGAAAAAAGTGTTGCTACATGTTGCTAACTGTTGCAGGACGATTTAAAGGAGCACCACTTCCCGTAGATTTGAACAGTCTCCATCAACATGCAAACCAAATCCTTTGAGTTCTGATCAATGAGTGAGCTTCCAACTCTTTGGTCTGAGCCTGCGAAGCCCAGCAGAACTGAACTCCGCGTCCACCAATTCAGGGCACCAAACATCATATGTCTCTGAGAAAGATGCCATATGTCTCTGGTCTTGGGTAGACATCTCTGGTAGAATCGTAGAACAAAAACACCTGTCTACTAAAAGACTAAGATTATCCGTGCGAGGTACTCGTCCCGGCGAGCGACTGCAACATCAACCTCCTCGTCAAGCGACATTTCTCGGTTGACAGGAACCACCGCGATTAAAGGAACACAGGTCGGACCAGAACTGCATACGATGGACTGTGCGAACAAAGATCTGTGATCCAATTTGAAGAATTATCGAACGGAACAGCACATACGGAACAAGTCTGCTTTTTTTGGGTCCGCAGCGGTCTCAGAAAACCGTTCCCTGTTCGACTGGCCCACGTCTTATGGGCCACATATGCACAAGCTTCTCTCCGCCTTCACAGGGTGTGGCGCTTCTTGTCTCCTTGTGGCCTTTTAGCGTCATGTCAGGTGATGTACACTCAGCGAGAACAAACTAGGGCTACTAAGATGTTTTGGTTCCGGGGTAGTTTGCTGGTGCCAATGCAACATCACACAGCAAAGACTTGACTCACAAACATAAAAGACCTGCGTGCCGGACTTAGGATCTTTCCAACAGGAAAACAACATACATGTATATGTATATGTATACATACATACACTTGGCATCTCCAACGTGTGCGTCTCAAGTGTGGAGGAAACAAATGCACCAACAAACCACTGAGTGGTCTCGTTGGTCAAGCAGTCCACCGACTCTTGCGCCTCGTCGTCGGCTCCTGATCTTTCAGATTATGAGGTGATTCCGCAGACCATTTCTTTCAGGAGTCTGTTCATTGGAGAACCACGCTACAAATGATATACTCTAAATGCTTCATGAGTCTTCATGATCTCATGCGCAAAAGTGGAGGAATTCCTTCACACCCTCGTCCACAGGGCCTCTCCATGATCTTCGTTGCCATGCTACAACCCTGAATCACGCGGGAAAAGCCAAAAGCTCAGCTGCTTACTTTCAGCAGCAGTTCTGCACGAAATTCAGGACCTTCGCGCATCAACATTGGCCACCTGCTCGCAGGGAAGCAGGTGCACAACACCATTGCAGCCGACGCATCACGGAGTTGCAGCATACTCAAGGTGCGGTATGTGGGCCACGAAAGTGGAATCCGTCCCAAGTTCCAACTGGTCAAGCATCCCCACATGTCCACACCCGGAAACCACCAGCTGGATGGGTGACAGCGAGTGGAGCTGTCTGACCTGTTTGATCCAAGCACGATGCGAAACCTCTGAGCACCTGAATTGGAACTCCGAGGTCAGAGCACCGATGGTGTGATTTCAGCTAACATTTTAAAACATATAAACAGGGAGGTGAGAGCTCTAGGCAGCCTTTTTTGGGCGATTCTGTGGAGAAAGTGGATGTTCCTCAATATTTGGGTTCCCTTTGGATGGTCTAGGAAATTCTAGGAATGGTGAGCTGCTATCATAAATACTTTAGGTATATTCCATTCCCAGTATCAAAGGATGATGATGGTTAGATAGTAAAGACCTTTCCAAGAAATTGGTATAATTGATCATCGTTTACCAACTGTGGCTGGACATGGGGACACACCCTATCCAAACATCTCCAAACCCACTACTAGAAGGGTGTCACACTTTCATGACAGTAAGGGTGTCAGACATACTTTCAGTAAACAAGGCCTTGCATCCATGTAGATCTACTCCCTGCGAGTCAACATGGCCATCCCGAGAGGCACTTTGGCCTCACTTCAGCCGAGGGATGCGGCTCAACGGTCGATTCGCCTGATCCTGCCGTCGGATCAACGGTGAGGATCGAGCCAAGGCTCGCTGGACCGGTTTTGGAACCAAATGCAACCCATTCTCTGATGGTCTAGGATTGTCTAGGTATCTCCTCCCCTTGCGAAGACAAACAAACATATGGGGATGAAGTGAGTTCGAACGCAGAAATCTCCTCCTGCATCTCGCGCGAACTTTTCGACTCCGCCCCATCACCGTCCCGTACCCAAACATTCTGCTGACGACTTGGCCGACTCCATTCCACAGGAATCCCAAATGGATGCTTCCTTCAATCACACCAGCTGGCGAAGCGGGCGGCTTCGCCCGAGCGCGCTAGATTCCACATGATCTCACGGACCCAAAAAACACACACTGGGAAGACACACAAAACCAGAAAAGACACAAAAAGGAACGCACAAACAGCCTACTTTAGCACTTGGGAAAGCCGGTTGTTTGCCCAAGTGGCCTTAAATACCAATCACAACATAAGCATGTCCAACATCGAAGACGGCTAAGACGGGGAAAACATCTGAATCCTTCCACCGTCTTCGCTGAAAGAACACGTCGTTTTCGGTCCTGCCACCGGAAGCGTCCAAAGGCCCAGGGCAAGTCCTTCGGCTCGACGTCGCACTCGGGCACCGTGGAGCACACTGAAAGGCCACCTGAGATCGAGTTGACGGAGAAAAACCGTTCAGGTGGGGTAACAGTGGATTCCAGAACATTGTACAAACAACGAACAACACACAACCACCAACAACCACAACAACGACATGGTAAAACGATGTACAACTCATTTGACACCTAAAGAACAATCATGCCACTCACTGAGCGGACAAATGAGTGGGTGTATGTTTTATGATGTTTTATGTGTTTTTGTTCATAGGTCTTTCTCTCCAATGCTCCAACAATCTGAGGTGACATGTGTGTGTTATCTTTTGGGGAAGAGGTCCACAGCTTGGCCACAAGCGGCGGACCTCTTGTGTCGGTGGCAAAAAGACCTGTCCAGTTGGAAGATGTTGCAACAATTCTAGCCTCAAAGCACCACAATTCTAGCCAGAAAAAAACAAAGTTGTTGCAATTCTTGAGTTGACCACCCCGAAGGAGTCTCGTCTCCTGCTGACCCCTTCTCCCCATCATCTCCCAGTTCACTCGTCCAGCCTAATCGATCCTCCACCGATCTCTCCACGGATCTCCGGGTCGGCACCTGGAGATAAGCGCGATGAAACGTTGCAAGAATGTCTTTGGTTTCTTCAGCGAGTGGTTTCTTCCGAAAATTCCTTGGTCACCACCCCCCCCGTGGGAGATTCAGAGCTCTGATTTCAGAGTGGATGGCACTGAGGATGATGAACATGGCTCTCAAAGCTCCAACAGGAGGAGATTGTCCACTTCCATGGACACTTGGAAGGGGAGAACAAACAAAAAAGACACATCTTTTCTTCATGCCCCTGAGTTGACCCTGTGGCACTGCGGAGGGGTCGTCGTAGCTTGCAGCGGCCAGTAGCTTGAGGAGTCCGTGCGCTGTACGGACAGCGCGCGCGCGTCCGTGGGTTCCAGGAACTGCTTCGCGAAAGAATGCGTTTTTGGAAGTTCATCATCAAGTAGTCATGTGGGGAATTAGATCAAAGCCCCTCGGGTCCTCCGTGTTCTTGGTCAAATCCCCAATTGTAGCGAACTCCCTTGTCACCTTGGATTTGAGGTTCGTCCGGGAGTCCAACAATACTTCCTTGACCTGGCGTTTGGGGGGGCTTTTGCCTGTGAAGTCTGTCAGCTAGCTTCATTACCTCAGGCGCCAATATGTGCCAACATGAAGGACACAAACTCTGGCTTTCTCTCTCTCTCTCACTGTGCCGCGGCTCTTTTGGCATTCAGCAGGCTCTGGCAAGAAAGTGCTTGCACGGCTTTGGCCTTTCTTCTCCGCCCGTCCGGGAGAGCAGGATTTCTTGGAGATAACCAACCGTGTCACGAATCACTGCAAATAGTTGTTGTTAGCTACACCATGTTCATAGGCCCATGCTGTAGGCTTTCTGTACCCCCTTCCATCTTTGTCACACATGGGTTTTCTTTGAAGCGCTAATAAAAATACAAAAACATAAATAGAGTAACGGTGAGTCCACATGATTCCACTAATTATCTTCATCTTGATGCTCTCTCTCTCTCTCTCGCACCTCTGGACGTGAGCTGAAAATACTAGTACCTTGAGCGAGTTCACGTTGGTTGACAAAATGGAAGGCTGTAGTGCAAACCTTGTTGGTAAAATGAAGCAGCTGCAACTACTCATGCTCTACCTGTCAACTGCTTGCTGTCTGTCCAACTCTACCTGTGATGCTTCGGAACTTGAACACCGATGGCACGAACCCCCATTGGTAAGCCCAGGTATGGCGAGAGTGGCGCTTCTGCCGGCGTGCCATGTGGAACTCTCGCTACCGATGGCCCAACTCTTCATATACTGCCTATCTACGCACGAAAACGGCACGAACGGGCAACTCCCTGCTTCTCCCCGGGCAACTCGGTGAAACTCGCAGCCTTGCGCTTGCAGGTGTGCCACGTGTGCCGTGTGAACGGAGGAGAGTGGTTGATTGAGTTGGGGGGATTCTTGGTGAGGGTGTTTGGATGATTCGGACGAGAGACTGGAATGCGCACCTGCTTTTCAGTTGATTAGTTCCTCTGGCATCATCAATCATAAAATCATGAATACATTGAAGGCCTAATTGGTTGCCATCTGCGATATACCGATCTGCGAGGCTATAGGCTATAGGTGTAACTTCTCTGGAGAGAATCTTTATTGCGAGGTAGTGCTTGTTGGCAGAAAGGGTCGTTCCACCTGAAAACTTGAAACAACAAACGGTCGGCATCGCCAGAATTGCACAACCCGACCTGCATGGTGACTCATGATGGCCGTAGAATTCATGGCAATACCTCGATCAAGACTTCACTGGTTCACCTATTGGTTCAGCTCACACTGCAGTCCATTCCAGTCCCGAGCCCACAACACCTTTTGAGAGTGAATTGAACAAACTCCAACTACTCTCTTGGATTCCCTAACCTAAACACTACTCTCTCGGATTCTGTATAGTCTGCAGTAGAAAATGATTGCACAAACGTTATTTCTTGTGCTCCTGTTTGAGCACTGTTCCGGACACTCCCTGATGCGAAACGGACCCTCCGTTGCCGCGCGGACACACTGCGTCACTGGGCGCCCGGTTCCTGCGGCTCTTGGGATGGCTTCTTGGGATGACAGCAATTGACCGAAGCGAAAGCTCAGCAACACATCGCAAACAGAACCCACACACAACTCATCTCCACTCTTCTATACAAACACACTCCCTCACATGAAGCCCAGACCGTAGACCGTCCAAGAGAGCCCGTTCTGACGGCATCAGGAGACAAACCATGCACTCAGCCATCCAGCGATGCTTCCTTCCGGGCCTCGATCCCTTGTGGCCGGCCAGACTGTGCGGAAGGATCTTCAGCATCCGGCGGCTTCCTGGGTACGCGGGTCTGGCCAAAAAGATCCAGATATGAAATGATATTATAATAGTATATGCAATACTGTCCCTTGAACCAAGTAGCGCTCATGTCCCCCGAAACTGATTCACACATGTCCATATGATTATTTTAGCCATCAACATCAGAATCAATCTGAAATCACTCCAGCAGCGATCTAGCCCATCCAAACATAACAAACTAAACATCAACCCACAAAACCATTAACACAAAAAAAAAACGTTCTAAAATCATTATCTTAGCTTCAGATCACAGCAATTCCAAGCGGTGGCGAAGCTATTTCTGAACCTCTGGGAACCTTCCTTACTTAATACATATTACCGGGTTTATTTTTCAACTCATTTGATTCCCCCTTCCACTCGATCTTCATTGCCAGGTCACTGTGCATCTACGGAGAAGGCCGACAAAGCGTTGAACCATTCGCTCCTCTGCTCCTCTTGTGTGACGAGTGTCGGGGTGGGTTTGATGCCTACTGGAAAGTGGCCAGGCCATTTTCCGTGTACGGCCGAAGTAAGGGTGCAAATCTCCATGCATTCTGTCATTCCTGGAGTTTCAGTTTGGAACCTGATTCAACATGGATAGCTGCAAATGTTTGAGGATCATACCTCGTTTGGTCAGAAGGTTGGGAGGACCCAGGTTTGGTAGCTCCACAGTACCTTTGTTTTGCTCAAGCTGTTCCAGGTTTCATGTGTTCGGCGGGCTGGAAATCGACCTATAAACATTGAAACACTTGGACATTCCGCTTCAGCGAACCAAAAACACACATCCACCGAATGCGGCTAGGGGGAACACGACGGCATGCGATGAGAAGTTTTCTGAGAAAGGTTTCAGAGATCCCATGGAGTTCAGTACCGTTCTACCATGTATGTGTTGTTCTTTTAAACATGATGTAATTTATGTAATGAACATTGTAGTTATACCTATGTGATAGCTATTGGCATCTCTAAGGAAACGAGCGCCTTCAAAGCATGGCATAGACCGAATGTCCCAATTCTTCAAACATCGACCGTCGGAGCATTCCTCGCCTCTCCTCTTCGCCCCCAGCTCGTTACACATCCTGCACCTTCCTTCCTTTTGACCAAGAACAAACATCCTGTCCCTGACGATGTCGTGATATTTGGTGCATCTGAAAAAACAACAACAACCCACACACACACACTCTGAAAACAGTGGCATTGAACCCTTTGGCACAGGGGGTGACACACACACACACACTTGCATAACCGCATAACATGAACACCAACCTTCACCACCCTGGTCGCTTCACCCTCCCGGTCAACCACCGGAAAAAGCCCCCGGGTCAAACCGCGCTCCGGCGAGCTGGCGGCCAGCTGCAGGACCCAACGGCTGCCGGCAGCCTAGTGCGATGGAACCGTGGCGAGGGGCGATTTGTTGGGGGTTTTGAGGGAGATCCAATCAAAACCCCCAACTCGGCCAAAACCCCCAACTCTGAGGGGGTTTTGAGTTCGGCCATTGTCGCCTTCCACACCAAAGTATCCAAATATTGTCAGAGTCAAACAAATAAGCGGCGGTGACTTACAATTCACGGTGCATTGTAGTTGGAAGGACACCTGTCGGGTCCTGCCAATCATCTAGGATCTAGACGTTTTTGCTTCATCAACAAACACCGCATCACCCGCCACACGGTCGCCGTCCGCACCGAAGGCCTTCTGCCCCCGCCCGTCGCGGGTTCCGGCCTGGTCACCCTTGTGCGCCAGCGGCCCCGGCTTCACAGCCACTTGGAAGGCGAAGGCCTTGGCCGCTTCGTCCTCCTCGAGTTCCCTGGGGCCGGTTCCGGGCGTGGCGCCGGGTTCCACACAGAAAAAACACACCGATCCAATGCAACGGCATAGCCTGCAGAATGCTTGGTCGACGTCGGACTGGACAACAAACAAGTTTGTTTGATGCAGGAAGGTTAGCAAATCCGCCTGCTGTCATCACACTTTATTAATGAGGGGTCCCTATGTAACTATATTATATATATATATATATGTTTGAAAATTATAACTGTAGTTGGTCAAAGAAAACACCACCACAAAGCACCTTCAACCTCAAATTCAGCACATGGACCCACAGCGAAACACAACACACATTTGCGCCTGTGTATGGCACCTTTCTCCAGCGCATATTCCTGTCAAGGCCAAAGGAAAACAACTCGCGTCAATAGATCACTATGAATAACTCATTTGCTGACCCTTGCAACAGATTAGGTAATGGGCACTGGCATTCAGTCGCCGTCTGAAGCTGTTCTAGTAGTTTCCCTTGTGATAGAACCGTCTCAAGATAGTATTGCAGGACTGCAGGTACAAATCTCCCCATCATAAGGAACTTGTCCCGGAATGAGCAAGCCATGGATAGGACTGAAGTCTACTGGTTACACAACAACTGCTATGTAAGTATAGCTAGCATTGGTCCAAAATGGAATACAAAAGTTCAAATTTGTTTCTGAGGTGAACACCCACCACAACCGTAATAGATGAACATTTAGGGACCATCCACAAAGGTCCAGTCGTGACTTAGTGGAACGCAAACATCCACCACTGGCGGTGCTTCAGAACCCTGGCGTCTTCCGCATGGTCGTCTTCTCCGTCCGCTCCTGTGGCGCTGTCTCCTGTGGGGAGATCAGCAAACCTCAGCATGGGAAGAAGGAGCTGAGACGCTCATTTTGGTGGAGTGGAGTCAAGTTTTTGTTTCGCTTAA